TTTCTCTCTAACATGTTATCAATAACAACTATGCTGCAATAGAAGACAGGCAACACAGTTACTGGTGAAAATATGAATTTATGTATGTCCCTAGATGTTTCCAGGTTTTTGAGATTAAGGAGTAAACTGATCTTTAGCTGATAATAAAAACAGGGGTGCTTACAACTCACAAGGTGGTATTTAGGAAGCAGACTTCGAAAGATTTGCTATCTTTGGTTAAACATTTCCATCGTAACAGCAATTCTTTAACACTATTTGAGTGTAGAAGTTACCTTTATAAAGAAGTCCTAAATATATTTCTTTCTCAAGAAAAAAAAAGGCTTTTTAGAACAATATGGTCACTATATTATACTAATGGACAACTATGTGTATAAATCCACTAAGTAAGCCTTTATTGTATCCTTTCTAACAGAGGGCACCATTTTATTGTTCTTAGCAGAATTGGTCATTATTCTTCTTGCACAAGCTGAGAATTTAGAGTGAAAAGGGACCCATAAGTAAGTATTTAGAATCCAAGGGCAGAAGAAGGTAGCAAAATACTGCAAGCAGTAGTTTCAGCATGAGACTGCCCAACTCAGATCCCAGCTCTAATACCTACTAGTGAGTGTCCTCAAATAAGTTCTGTAACAACTGTAGGTCTCAAATTCTTTATCTGCAAGTGGTAGCAATAATATTAACTACCCCAGAAATTTATTATAAAAATGGGAAGAGATAGTCATGTAAAGCACTTCTCACAGGGCTGAAAACATAGTAAACTTTTGACAGGCTGTGTACTTATTGTTAAAGCATAAAATGTTATCAGCCCAGGAAATAAATCCACCATCTTTCCTGGAGAAGCCAAGCAAGTCTTTGAAAAAGAAACAGCGTGAGGCATCTCTCCACAGAAGAGTAAGTTTTCTGAACCAACAGAGGGGTAGAACAGTCTAGGAAGAGGAAACAGTTCATTCTACAGGCACAAAGTTATCAAAGTTTTGCACTCAGGAGCACTGTATTCAAGGCCTCCATACTCCAGCACCTTGTGGATAACAGGGGATGAGGTTAAGATAACTGGAATGACTTCAAGTTATATGCAGAGATGTGGTTGAAGGGGGAAGAGACGGAGTTGGGTGGTTTTTGTTTTTGAACAAAACTGAAATCCCTTATGATCCCTTATGTATTGTTTACCGAAGAGTCTGACATGAACAGGTGTGTTTGTCTTCTGGAAGTAACTGGCAGCATTTTGGACAATGGAGAAAGCCAAACTTGGTAAAAGTTTGAGAAAGCAAGGAGGGAGTTCTCACAACCTTCCAAAAGAGAAATGAGGAAGCAAGGAGAGAGATAATGAAGAGATTCTAAGGGTATTTCAAAATGGAAATTATATGCAATTTGATAGCTAAGTGGGATATGGAAAGTAAAGACATGGAGGAAGAATGGCATAAGGTTTCTAAGCTAGCATGGTAAAGTCATTAACTAGGTGAGGAATGTAAGAGAAGTAAATTCAGAATGAGAGAAGATGTGTGCAAAAGATCTGTTTGTGTTTAGACATGGTCTGTGGAAAACCTAAAAGGAAATAATCTCTAGTCTGTCAGCAACAAAGATCTAGGGTGCAGAAGAGATTCATTACAGGCAAAGATTTGAGTGATTTTCTTAAACTAAGTCTCGTTTGAACAGGCAACATTACCCAGAAATTGCTGATCTTGTGAAAGGTTCTGTCAATGCAAAATATTGGGGGAGCATGTCTGTAGATTAAATAAACACCTTTGAAACTGTATAGCTACACATACTTAAAGCTGGCTGAATAACCACCCCAACTTTATGCCCAAAACAAAAACTAAAAGGTAAGTAATTTACCAGCCATCAAATAGCATGGTCCCATTCTGACTCTGTTTCCATAACATTTACTTATGTGAGTTTTATCCTTTGTTCCTTCCCTCCTGATATAGTACAAGATGTATCATCCATCCAACTAAATTTAAGTCTATGCTTTGATATCTAAAGTCTTCAGTCTTCTCAAGGACCTCATTCAACAGTTTCCCCTTCCATTTCTTGGATCCTTATCCCTTCTTTTCTATTGTCTTTTTTTTTTTTTAAGCTTTATTTATTCATACAGAACTGGAGTACAGGCCAGAGATGCAGAGGGTGAGAAAATTCACCAGGGACAGAGTGGGGAGCAGAACAGGCAGATCGACGAAGTACACTGCTGAGGGGAGCAGCGGGCGGGTCAGGAGAGGTCTGCCACACCATGTGGATCTCCTCTGGGGCAGGCGGGTATCGAACTCATGCTGAAGTGGCTTAAGCTTCTTAGTGCTGTGCTTTAACCTGCTGCGCCACCAGGGAGGGCCTCTATTATCTTTTTTTTTTTTTTAACAGCACCAAAATGCACTTGCATAAGTCAATCCCATTGTAAGAACAGTCCCATGAGCTCCTCACCCTCACCCCCATACTCAACTGTCTCCCTCATTTAATCTTAAACCCACTGCAAGCTGGCTTCTACATCCATCATTTATATCTCATTAAAACCAACAAAAAGCTACAATATTGACAAACCTACTGGATGTTCCTCAACCGCTTTTACTTAATCTCTCAGCAATAATTTTCTTCTACTTAATCTCTCAGCAATCATTTTGGTACCAATGCCCACCTCTAATTTAACTAACGTCTTTATTGATTTGACTACTGTGACATTGCATTTTTCTACCTTTGTTTCCAACTTCTACGACTTCTTCTGTTTCCACTTACCATTTCATGTTATAATTTCCAGGCATTTCAGATTTAATAATTATCTTTATCTCATTTTCAGACTTTCATACTTCTGTTATTCTGCCACCACTTTGTCTTCACTTGACCAAATCCCATTCATTCCTTGGGTCTCTATGTGAATACCACTTCAGAGAAGTTCTCGTGGGCTCTCTAGGTTAAATTAGGATCTCCAGATATACAATCTGTTAACTTCCCACTTTCTACCATAATTTTGTTAACTACTTGTTTAATGACTATAAATTCTGTGAGGGCAAAGGTCATATGAGACTTGCTCACTGATACTTCTGTTCATGTCACTTAGCAGATGCTCAGTGAACATTTGTTAACAGACTAGATGGATGAATGAAGGTGAAGTTAGAGACTCTATGTTCTATACAAGATATAGAACCTAGGAGAGGTAATAAGTTGAATAACACAACTGGGTTGAAAATTATCTGCATTGATCAAAAAATTTTAGAGGAACAGAAATAAATGTGGCATTTTCATTCATGCTCACAGAATTATTTACATAATGTAATTTTATTTATAATATGTTTTAACAGCAACCCACAAAATATCTGAAAGGCATGTTCAAGGAATGCAAGTAAGTCAGTCACATAGCCAAATAGAAATTCATGTCTTCTTACACATTATTAGGAAAACATTAATGTTACACAAGAACTCCTATAGTCTGTCCTTTTGTTAGGCCTTATAGTGTGTTTTTGACTAAAAAGTCCCATAGTGTTCTTGACTGATGGACCACATCTGGAAATCATACATAATTCTTTGACATTAACAAAGAATGCACAAAGATGGCTTTGTCTAAATAATTAATAATAGCACTATGAAAGGTAAAATTATTATCCCCATTTTACAGATGATAAAAATGAGGCACCTAGAGTTTACGTAACCTAGCAAAGGCCAGATAAGTAGTAAGTGACAGAGTGAGATTTTGAAGTCAAATAGCCAACGCCCGGCCTGCGATGTTTAAAAAATCAGTCATACCAATTGATAAGAAGAGAGGGAAAAAAAAACACATTTGCTTAGGGATGTGGTAAGCTGAAGGTTCAGGAAAAAAGATTATTCATTGGCCTTACAGTTAACTAGGCAGAAATCAAGAGGCAGACATGGGTTCAGTAAATTGAAGAACTTTCTAATACTTTGTTTTACTCACTGGTGAGCAGTCTGGCTCACTGGGTTCCCAGTGCAGGGAGCATTCAGGTATAGGCTAGAAGGTGACCTAGAAATGATGACTATGGCAGCCCTCCCTTCAGGAAAAGTAGAGGTAGAGAATCCATTTCCTAACATCTGTAGTTTTCAAAACACCACATGGATCTCAAGCTCAAGAAGCCAAGACCAAACACAATAGAACTTAACCAAGACAGAGCTTTAATAGGCCATCAACAACCTATCAAGATAATGAAATGGCTGGAGTTCAGAACAGTGGGCCTCCACACTACTGTTACAGATGAATATCCTTACTACATACATCCAAAATAAGCAACATCAGAAATGGAAATGGAATGGCAATAATGTCATGGAATAAAACCCAAAGAAACACAAGCAACTAGAATTTGATGCACAGGTCAACTCTATGCACCACTTTTCCATATCAACAGATAGTGTCAAAAAAATTTATTTGCATTGTTTCAGCTGTGAGATCATTTCTTTCCCATCCAGAAGAAGATCTCATTAAATCTGAGATTAAAGAAGTGGATAAAAGTGCTCCCCTGGAACGAGAAGGCCAGGAATTAGACACACCACTACTGCTACAGCAGTCTTCAGACATGATCCCTCACAGGGAGTCTTCCATCAGATGTGAGCAAGACTAATCCTTTTGCAAAGCATGACAGCTTCTCAAACTTGACTGTGGTTAATCCAAACCAGATTTTTATGCTATATGATCAGCTTTCAAAATACAAAATCATGTTTAGATTATCCTGGGTTTAGGCTTTATTAAATTTAAGTTTGCAAAGATACAGATGCCTGTAATACAGCCTGCCCTTAGCTCCCTTGATGCTTATCTTGCAGAATAAAATGGCAGATGATAGCGAGATAGAGGTATGAAACCAGAACTTCTCTCTAACACAATGCTGTCAAATGATAACAGAGTTTTCCACATACTTAAGAGAATCACTCAAATTTCCATCTCTGCAAAAAGAGCACTGTAACATGTCATCAGAACATTGTTATTGACGCCTTAGCTTTCCAGCTGAAGTTCATCATCTTTGAAGGCTTTCCTTACTCTGACAGCAGGCTACAGTTCTTGGAGACTAACTTACCTTTTTGCAGTCAGATAAGGACTTCTCCTTGGCCAATGTGCTGAAAATGGTGGCCTGCAAAACAGGAAGACAGGTGATCCATTACCCTGAAACATGTAGCAATACTGACCCTGTCCAGTTCAGCTCCATGGTGGACATCTCCTCCTGTGACCTCAATGATTTATCTGGACTTTAAAAAGCATTTGCCCTTTGTTGTTGCCTCTGCCATCCTATCCAAGATGAAACATTCATTATGGGCCAACGACAATTAAGCCAGTAAGTTAAGTACACTTACTTCCATTCATTTGACAAAGAAGGTAACTGTGGCATGATTTAGTTGTCAATTATTTTAATATAATTAATAATCACTTGTATTATATTACATATGTACATGTAGCTTTTCTTTCTTTAGATAACATTATCCTACTTAATACCATATTACTAAAAACTTTCCAGGCTAATTCAGATAGAGTTGCTCATTCTTAAATTTCACAACATTCTACAATATGTATGTAATATACTTTGTTTTGATGAACATTTAGCAGCTTAGGTATGTTGCTGTTCCTTTTTTATATTCACTTTTGTTTGTTATTACACACTGGTACAATAAACAGTCTAGTACTGTTTATTGCAGTATTATTTATATATGTCTATGAGTGTGTGTATATATTTTACTGATAATTTTATTTTGGTTGAATAGGATCAAAAAATTGTTATCAGAAATTTGTTCTGATTGGAAGTAGCTCTTTATATAACATAGAATTATTAACCATCTCTCCTAGGATTTTGTTTTGCTTTGGGACAAGACCTAGAGAGAGTTAAAAATCTAAGCCATATTCTGGCCCAAAATAAACAGTACTTTAGGACAGAAAATATACATATGGGTATACATATAAAAACCTTATTAATAAAAAATAGTTAACTTAAATGTTTTGCTTGGTGTAATATTAAAATGTGGTTTGCTGAAAATTTTTGTGTTGCTTCTGGAGATAGGGCTATATGTTCGTCAGGAAATTTGAATTAAAGGGCAAAAAGGTAAAGAAGGGAAGAACTGTATTGGTAGAAGAAATGAGGAAAAAATCCAAAAAGAAGGGCTCAGATAAAAAGGTCAGGAAAAAAAAAAACAGACACAGCAAAATTATCAAGGATAGGCAAAAACTTCCACTAAAGAATCAGCCATCTTTGCTTAAAGATAATGAGGGCAATTACTCAGCCTTTGTAGACTTGTCTACCCATCCACCTAATTTCAACCATTGGTGTTGGCAAGACTAGGAATAGCCCTGGGAATTCCATGCCATCTTGCCCTTTACTTCTGCATCTTTAGGGATGCAAGCAAAGATATTCTTACTTTCTATTTAAAGACTGAGTCAATCAAGAGAGAAATGCCAATGAAACAGCTCTTGATATGGGCATGCCATAGAGAAGCACCTCTCTAGAGCCTGCCCCTCAAATGTCTTCCTTGTGATCTCATCACCTGTACACATTTGTGCAGGAGCATCGAACACCACATCATGACAGAGGCCTCAGTGTTCTCTCAGATTCCTGTTTCAAGCAAGTAAGGACCCAACAAGAATTAGTCATTACTAAAGCCCTTTCACCTAGTCTAGTGCAGAGAAGGCACTAACAAATATGCATTGACTGGAAGGAAGAAAAAAGGGTGGTATTAGGCGAGACTGCAGTTCTTATCCCAAAATACTGCTTTGGAAGTACAATGCTGAAAAACGGCCTCATAATGGAATAACATTATAAGGTAAAGCCCAGAAAGAGAAGAATCGACAAAGGTAAAAGATTTCTCAGTAACCATTATATATTTTCTTTCTACACAGCATATAACTGTCCATTATCCCCTTGATTTGACTATCAATTTTTCACTGTCAAGCCTATGAATAATTTGGACGGGATACATCTTTGTTCTTGAGCTTGTTATGCTGTGCACCATAGGAAATTTTGCAGGATACCTGGCCTGTACCTACAAGTCCAATATACCCATCCTTACTTGAGTCAAGACAACCAAAAATGACTCCTAACATTGCCAAATTTCTCTTGGGGGACCAAATCACCCCAACTGACAACCGGCTTACCCTAGAAGGTGACTATTTTTGCAAATTATCCTGATTCCCTGGCTATTGCACTAAATTTTTCTGGGAAACAGAAATTTCTATCACCAGACTTCTTTCTATCCCTGATTTCAAGCCTCAGTGTTAGTTCTAAATAGAAGGAGCACCCAAGTTTCAGCTACTGAAGACTGTGTGGGGGCAATTTGGGAGACTAATTGCATTTTTAACTAAGCTTAAGATACACAACTGGAAAGAGTAATTTAAAAAGCATGTCTAAGGATTCAGACATTAAGCTGTTAGCCCCAGGGGAAATGATCTTCGAAATTAAACAATACCATTCAACCTTCGAGAACAGTCTTAAGTGACCTGAGAAACATGTTTGAAGGAGAAATGAGAGTCAGAGATGGGTGAAATTAGCTTCACTTCAAAAATTAATATGAGTAGCTCTAAAGGTTACATTTATAGAAAGGAATCACTTGAGCAGATGTGCAATGAAATCTCAGTTCCTGAATGGGGTGTGAAAGAGGTATGGCTTGGGTCAATGAGAGTCCATATCCTTAATTTGGTGATTTTCTAAAGGGATTTTACTTATATGCTTGGTAAGTCTCATTTCGTTCCTGTCGAAAGACTTTAACTGGCATTCCAGCTTCCTAATTGCAGTTACTGGGAAAGACTTTGGGTGGGCTTTCTGAACCTTCCAACTACATGTTCACTTTAATTACTGAAAATGAAAGAGTCAAAACATGGTGACATAGCCATGCTGTGACCTCTGATTATAGCATCAATATTTTTCGACTAGAGGAAACTCCTAATGAGTCACCTCCACCAAAGTTTGTGTTACGGTGAGATGGTCACAGAAACAAGCACAATAAAGAACAGTAACTTTTTTAGAGCGCTGACTGCTAACCCTGTTGGCAGGCTGACCAGCACAAGTGAGCAGTATCATCCATGGATAGCTGTTGCAATTTCCCAAAATGAATTTAGGAATGTGAGATTAAAGTGTTGTCCATTTATATTCTGATGCCTGAATTTTTTGTCACTAGAATTCTGTTTTTTAGTATAAGATTTCAAATCATAATAGAGCAGCCTTCAAAGGGATGCTAGTATATAAGAACCACCAGAAAAAGGGAAACTGGAAATTTTAGGTATTATAATTTGTTGGTCTGTTACATCTCAGAAGGAATGAGTCTATCAGATCCTGTTCTGCAAGCATATTTTTTAAATGATTTTAAGAACAAATTTTGATGTTTGTACATGTGTGTATGTGTGTGTTTTGCTCTTAAACAGACCAGCTAGTTTTGATAAATGATCAAATGCAACTGAAAGTTAAAAATGGAAAAAAGGAATGATGCCTCCTTAAAACATCTGCAATACTAGCATACTGGATGATTTCTTACTCATAGGTAGATGTCAAGACTAGATCTATACATGCTGCTAGCAATTTAGAAGCCATTTACACTGGAATTAATGGGGCCCAAAAGTGAATACTACTTGCATGCTTTCTTAGACCTTTTTTTTAAAAGATTTATTTATGCATACAGAACTGGGTTGCAGGCCAGAAGTGGAGGGGCAGTGAGAGGATTCACCAGAGATAGAGTAGGGAGCAGAACAGGCAGACTGATGAAGAACACTGCTGATGGGAGCAGCAGGTGGGTCAGGAGAGGTCTGCCTTGCCATGTAGATCACTTCCAGAGCTGGGCTCAAACTCACAGTGAAGCAACTTGCAGCTAGCTTGCAGTACTGTGCTTTAACCCGTTGTGCCACCGGAGAGGGCCCTCTCAGACATTTTAGTAAGCCAATTTTAGTGTTTCTGGACAAAATAAAAATTCCATTTAGTCTTCATACTTTAGTAGATTGATACTGATACATATACAGTGAAAATGGAGGTATCTCCTCCAGGCAAAGTACGGCATTCATGTTTGTAACTGCATAATTATAACACACAACCAGCTAAAGGAAAATATGTATACCCCGAATAAATGATAAAATTACAGTGTTTTCTTATAGTTCATGAATACTGAAAATTTCAATTAGCCAAGTGAAAAGCCATTGAATGTGCCAGCAGGATTTATATCCAAGACTAATGACCATCATCTGCATCCTATTTAGCTAATGAAGGTTTGGAACACTTGTGGATAATTAAGGGAAAGCTGATGGGAGGAAATCTGAACCATGGAAAGATCAAATCTATTTATGTCTGCATTTAAAACTAAACTTATCTAATAGTTCACTCAATCAATGCATAATGTCTGTTCATTTGGGATAAGATAGATGCTCATAAGTTAAGTCGACAGGTTAGCTCCCATAACATGAAATTCAATCCTCTTTCATCCAATCAACACACACTTATTGAAAATCATGTGTCGCTGTCCTTGTGGATCATCAACACAACACCAGGATTTCCCCAATGCTTTCCACTACTTTCCCCTACATCAGTTTATTAGGTTTACTGTCACTTTACTGAAGTACTACCATCCATCTGTCTGTCATGAGAGCTATAGTGTAACTGCAATCCAAGAGCATTACAGGGAAGCAGAGGCTATACAAGGGGCACCTGACTTTTTTTTTTTTTTTTTAAATGAAATGGGGCAGCCTAGAGTCAGACTCTGGGCTCATCAATAGAGGGGTGTTAGTATAAATAAAATTAAGGACTGTTAAAGAATACACAAAACATGATATCCAGGAGTAGCCAGAATAGGAATCAAGTTCTATGTAGCTCTACTAAATTTTATTGAATATTTTATTGGTCATCTCATTCAACTGTTATTATACCACTAAAGTGCCCTCCGTGGTGGTAAAATGGGTTAAAGCATATCACTATGAAGCTATCTGCAGCTACTGCAGAACAAGTTCGATACCCCATCAGTGAGGTAACCACATGGTACAGCAGACCTCTCCTGTCTCATCTGCTGCTCCCCTCAGCAGTGTACTTCATTGACCTGCCTATTCTACTCCCCACTCTTTCTCTGGTGAATCCTCTCACCCCCCCCCACATTCCCACATTCCTCACCACTCCCT